TATGGAGTAATATAATTTTATAATATTATTATTAATATTAATTGTGAAATTAATATCTGATTTTTGATTAAAGAAAGTCAAAATCTGATTTTTTGAAAGTTAAAACTAAATAGCTGATCTTAGGTAATTACCTCTTTTTCACAACCCCCTTAAATGGGGGTGGAGCCCGCGATTGTCGGCCCCCATGTTGTGATAAAAACTGTCAAATAAAGCTGTACATTCAACTTTATTGTAATATTTGACAACCACTCTAGAGTGGATATGTGATTGATATCATAAACAATGTTTCGTCAATTGATTCATATTAATGATTCAAACTTATCTGATAAGCTTTGAATATTATGGATCCACCAATCACGTAGGCGCATACCACTCCCCAGATATTGCCATAGAGAAAGCACGAGATTTTTAGTTATAAGTAAATAATTAACATGCCCTAAATTACCCAATTATGGGTAAAATTGGTAGCTAAATCAGAACATAATAATTTTAAAATAATGATTATCCCAAAAATAAGCAGTAAAAAAAGTAAAATAATCATGATTGAAATCCTTGAATAACAATTGGATTCAGTCAAATCAAATTTTTTATTCTGTTTTCATTTATCTTTTGGCCCCCTCTTTTTCCTTCTATAATCAATACTGATTTATGAAAAACGTTGAAATGTGCACATTAAATATTTAATTATTTGACTTATTTAATTAGAACCAAACTTAGTGAGATAATTAAATTTTTAATAGGGATTAGAAGTCAAAATGAAGTTTAATTATAATATGGAAAAAAAAAAAAAAAGACATTTGTTAGGTGTAGGGTTTGTTAATTTCCTCATACCATACTTGCACTAAATCAATATTATGTACAAATTTCGGCTAAGTAATGGGTGCGTGTGCGTCTATTCTTATTTATGGAAATTCAAATGTCAACTCTCTCAAATGGGTAAAATGATATTTCACTCAGACCAACTCCATATATCTTTTAAATATAAGAAGTTTTTTTTTTTTTTTAAAGAGTTAATATTTAATATAAACTTCAAAAATAGCGAGTTTTACTCAACTCAGCGCCTATCTGATTTTGCTATTTTCATGGATTAAAAGCAAGAATATGGCTGTTGGAGGAGACAGCCGAGACCCTACCCTGAGAGAGGGGGTCAACGATGGTGGGCTACAACGGGCAAATAATTGGTTTTTCTCCTTCCAGAAGCGCGCCCAGACAGGGTCTTATTCTACATGTAGCAAGTTGATCTTCAATTTCTAAAAGTGAGCAAATTAATCTCCGATATATTTTCGGATTTGTGGCTTTCAGTGTCTCACAAAGTTACAATGTGGTTGCAAGCATCGATTTAGAAGCAGATTGATAAGAGTTGAATACAAAAGGAACACCCCTCCGAACGAAGTCAAATTTGCCTATAAGCAGAGTTATTTGAGGAAGAACTAACACGACCAAACTTAATCCTAGACTTAGGATGAGATTGCCATGAATGAGATAGTAAGCCTAGTTTATGACACAAAATTAATGTTGCCGCGCTTGAGGGCAAAAAGCTGTCAAAAAAGGTAGTATTAGAGGAAGCAAGCAGGGTGAATCCAACCAAACATGCATGCAATGTCTTTCGCCAGACTAATTTGTTATTCCAGATACTAATTGTTTGGGTTATAACTCATAATTAATCCACAAAGATCGATTTCATTTAAAAAAATTGTATCGCCCTTGTGAAAACATAATAGTCAATTCAAGTTCAGAAGCAAAATTTAGCTTCATAAAGTTGAATATATATAGTTTTCATGATCGGGAAAAAATTGCACGATGATAATAAAAAGTTCGAAATCAACTTACTCCTTTTTAAATGTTTGACACTAACTTGATCTTGGAGCAATATTCGAAACAAAGTCTCTCTTAGAATATAGATCGAAGACCAACAATGCAATATTTTCAAGATTTTAAAGATAATAAATTTAGCATGATGGCATTGGGGGTCCCCTTTCTTCAACATTTACATACTATTTATAACTCCTATATTTTCTCTCTCTATCCGGTGGTGAATCCAGCACCCGACGATCACTCATGGCCGCGTGTGCTGAATCAGCCGAAAACAAATTTTTTTTGTTGACCTAGATAAAAAAAAAAAAAAAAAAAAATTTAGGTTATATACCTGGTAATTCATTTTATTTTCAAACATATCTTGTAACTCGGTTGGTTAAAGCTTCAATATCCAAATTGGAAGTTTTGGCATCAAATCTCTTCCAAACCTATCCAAATTGAAAGTCTTGGTATCGAATCTCTTCCAAACCAATTAAAAGTGCAATTTTTTTAGTTCTACAATTTTTACCAAAACAAATGTAATACAAATGATTCGAACATGAGCCCCTCTTTAAGATTATTGAAAACTTGACCATCATGATACTTGTTGAATTTTGACATTAAATGTAACATAATAATATATGTTCAATTTTAGCGATTTTAATGCAATTTGAAATATTTGAATCCGTGCTCTTGCTTTGAATTATACAAATCTTAGCTACTATATCATTTGGTGAATATTATTAATATATATAACAGATTTATATATGTTCAGTTTTATCAAAATAATTGTTATATTAATTTTTTAATATTTTATTGTTGTCGACGATCAACGGCCAATGACGTTTCGTGTTCACTAAAAATTTTAGATCCGTCAATGTCTCTATCTAAAGTCACAAGTCAAGAAAATGACACCCTCACGATCACACCCCACTTGGTATTCAATTTTCTCATTTAACAACGTTTCTGAATTGGACTCAGTCACAAAATCTGCATGTGTAGGTCCTTTTGCTTACCTCTCCCCCATACATCTCTCTTTAATGCATCACAACAATAGAGAAAATCAAGAATCCTAGGCCAGGCCCCACCTCTTTATTTTCCTTTTCAGTTTTGTAGTTTACTTTTCATTCCACGAGAATTATCAATTCCAATATAAATACACTTTACTCCAAACCAAAAACCAATTTTCAAATCTCCACCATTCAAGAAGAAATCAAGTTCTCGTTTTCAACAGAACCCCACTTTGTTTGGGTTGAATATTTGTGTTAGGATAAAGGTTAGAAGAAGGACCACAGGAATAGCGTCACTTTTTCGGTACATTTCGTGTTTCTTCTGGTGGTTACAATTTTTGCGAATATAAATCTGTATTCAATGGCTATTCAAGTGCAGTGCTATTCGAAAAATCTTGAAGGACCTCAAGATTTGGTGATGGACAATACTTGTGGATTGAATCAGTTATATTTCGACCCTCAACAACAGTTTGATCAGAATTTTTTGGTTCCAAGAAACGACATCAACCATCATCAAACGATGGATTTTTCTCATAGTCTTGGCCCCCATATTGAGAAAGAGAGAGTTGAGATTGATCGGTTCATCTGTTTACAGGTTTGAAAGTAACGAAATCGGTAGTATTTTTATCATTTTGTTTTCGTTCTATGGGATGTTTATGTATTGATTTTTGTTGAAACAGAATGAGAAGTTGAGATTGGCTTTGCACCAACAACGAAAGCAACAAATCGCATCATTTATCAAGAAATACGAACCCAAGATTCAGCTTTTACTCAAACAAAAGGATGAAGAAATATCAAAAGCCGTAAATAGAAAAAGGGAGCTTGAAGATTTCTTGAGAAAAATGGAGATTGAGAACCAGTCGTGGCATGGGATGGCTAAAGAAAACGAAGCAGCGATCCTATCTTTGAACAACGCAATACAACGACTCAAAGAAAGTGCTTGTTTATCAGCCAATGAAATTGAAGTTGCAGAATCGTTCTGTAATGTGATCGATCACAACAATGGTGAAGAAGAACAAAGAACGAGAACAATGATTTGCAGAAGCTGCAATATTCGGAATTCGTGCATAATTATACTGCCCTGCAGGCATCTCTGCTCTTGCAAAGATTGTGAAGTTTTTCTTGATTCATGTCCAGTTTGTAAAATGGTAAAGAAAGCTAGCATAGAGGCCTTAATTTGATTCTCTTTTTCTTGAAAAAAATTATGAAGTTATATTTATTTTATCAAGAAATAGAATCTATTTTCCATTGATGTAAATCCATCACCATCAATCTGCCTATTCTTTCTTTCTTTTTACCTTTTCTGGATTTTACACTCTGGTAGATTGATTTGATTATTCATCTACTGGTTATTTTTGGACCACTGTCTGAACAAAGTAAATTATAGCACTGAAAGCATTTGAAAGTAACACAATAGTGACTAATTTGCATTCATTTACCACAGTAAACTTTCATCTTGTTTCAGTGTAAACGAAGAACCTTCATCACTTGGTTCTGGCCAGTTTTTTTTGACCCCATTTGTCATTCTGAAAAGCCCCCTGTACCTTGATTTTCTTTTGGATAGTGTGCATGCACTATTTCTTATTCTTAGTGTCTTCATGATGTTAATCATATTAGTCGGCCAGTTTGATTTAGATAAAAATGAGGTTTAGTAAATTATGATATAAGTTGATGAGCAACGATAAAAAAAAATAGATAAAAGTTGTAAATCCCATGAAATGTATGATTAAAAATGTGTGTGAAAAAAAATGAATTTGAAAAAATAGAGACCGAGTAAGGTCAAGTTGAGTTTTCTGCAAAGGATGCTTGAACGTGAGGTTAGGCCAATCGTAAGGACCAGATGTTTTGGTCATGGGGGAAAAAGGACTTGATTATGCTTCCTTTACGAGCTACGGTCGGTTTGTTTTGTCTATTCTTTTAAAAAGTCAAAAACTATTTTTCTACAAAATGCAGAAGTTGAAGCTATTCAAGCAGGATGATGATGACTCACCACGATAACGTCAATTACCATAAAACTTTTTTAAATTTCAATTTTGGAAGTACCTATTTGGATTGAAGCTTGTTTGGGAGGTTGAACAAAAAGCACACAATGTGCTATATTGCTTATTCCTTGGGGGTTCATAATCCTAGTAGTATAGGGAACATTGTCTCGCTTTGCAGTGCACGAATTGGTTGTGCCCGTTACAAGGTGCTATTGCACTGTTTCTGCCGTTGGATTGAGCCCTATTCTATAAAAAAATTATTTTTCCCTAAACTCATTTTCAACAATAAAATAATTTTATACATAATTCAAAATTTTCTTACTTTTTAACCTTATATTCTCCAAAAACTTACTGTTAGAAATCCATTTTCCTAAAAAATAGGGGCACAAACAAACCCTTGATTTCAGTTTGATTCTTTTATTACTTATGGCTACGTTATAAGGGACAAAGTTTCTCAGAATCCTCAACTTTATTCCACCCCACTAGAAAAGTACAACAAAAATAAAAGGCTGTAACAATAAACGAAAGGAACAAAATAACAATTAAGGCTTTGAAGGTAAACAAAGTGATATTCTTTTGGAAAGGTAAAGGTTCTCTTTGATCTAAGGAAACTATAAGGATGTTATTATTTTCAAGAATACATAGAAAGGAAAAAACAATAATGATGATGATCGTCGATCCATCTCAATCCACTCTTCAGTATCAATGTAGGAAATGATTGTAAATGCCTGCAAATCTTGTGGGCATAGTTTTTTTTTTTTTTTTCCCATTTGACAAGCTTTAACGTATCGAATCCAAATCAATGGTATTGATTCTAGCTTATGTTAGTTAATTCACATCCTTACTCATCCCCTTGTAAAATATAACTCTAGAAAAATTTCTATGTACTCTTTGTAGGATACATTTCCTGTTCTAGTTACTCTATATTCCTTAAATACATATTCAAGAGAATTACCAGGATACTCTTTTCCAAGTGCAGTTATCAAACCTGCAAGATTTGGGTATAGTATTTTTACGTTAGTTGATATTCGATATTTTTTACTGATGTTGAACAAATGATTGAATAGATTGAAGAAGAATTGGACCGAAAAAAAGGAAAAAGGCAATAGTGTAAGTGTGGCAATTGAGCTTTATCTCCCAACGTTAATGGAAAGGCACGACATATAATGGCATCACATGTTCCTTGCAGCTCCATCCAGGAAGTATACTTATCTAGGTGACTAAAGGGATCTCCTTCCCCTTTGTACCCAATTAGTTGTGGCATTTTTAATTTATCAAGCAAATGTTCAGCAAGAATGTCTTCAATGAAAGAGGAATGGCGTTTAGTGAGATATTCCTCCGCGCTTCCTTTCTTATTCGCTTCCAGATCGGCAGTGCGTTTTTTTAAGGCGCTCATTTCAGGTTCTGCCTGTTCCAACGAACGTTTAACACGGGGTTCAGTGTGTTCGCTCCAAGGTGTTAGCGAGCGCTGAGAGCACATTCTATAAGACACACTGCCAGTTTTTCTAATAATCTGCTCTGTCGTTGCTGGAAAACTCCTGATCTCTTCAGTTCGGCTTCTGGAAGATTCCTCTCCTGAAAAATGGAGAGTTCTTATGGTGGGAGGACGTCTGATTTTCTCCCTATGTGGGGATTCCACCTCAGTTTCGAGTGGAAGAACATGAGTTTGGTTTCGTTCCAATCTATTGACTGCATTAGTCAACCTCTCGATGACTTCTCTCATGATGGTCATTTGAGGGTCCCTGGCTTCATTTCGACCTCGTCCCCTTTCAATATTATGGGGAACACTAGTTTATCTAGGATAAGTGTGGGATTGATTCCATGATGTCGAAACATCCTCCATGGTGGTACTCTGTCGCGGGTTTTATGGAGAGATGAGGTTGTTCATACAAGTTAGAAGGCATCCTTCTAGTGCCAAACTGTTGACGTCGAAAACGGTATCGACAAAATTCGAACCAACTTAGAATGTAAATTATAAGAGTAAACTACAAGTGTTTTCCTTTCATTTCAAATGAGATGTTTTAAGTATGAAGTGTTCTCTCCTTCGTGGAGGATACCATCCTCTTTTTTATAAGGAAGGATAAGCATGTGTACGTCGTGTTTCTATCTTATCAGCTACAGGTAGGAGCTGGGAACTTGTGCCAATGACTTGTCCTGATTGGTTGCTGTCAAATCGATGTACAGCGTTGAGCTTAGGAGGTACATTAATAGCATATCTTGATTGGTTGATAAGATCGGCTCCAACATGTCATCATGAATCTATCTTGGATGTGGCCCTCAATAATTAATGAACTTATTTAGGGAATGAACCTATAACATATGATTGGTTGAATTAGGAGGTGCTGACATGAGACTGTTCAAATGTAATTAAATGATTGGATGTTTTGACAATATGTAAGGAATCTCCAATCATTGTGTCCCCTCGAATAACGACGGTCATTAGTACGAGCTTACCTCAAATACCTGACCTTAATTTAGCATGAGCTTAATGCGTATAACAAACTGTATTTAATGAGGTCGTGATCGGATATCAACAACAACAACAACAACAATAATAATAATAATAATCATCATCGATCCATCTCAATCCACTCTTCGGTATCAATGTGGGAAATGATTGCAAATGGCTGCAAATCTTGTGGGCATAGTTTTTTTTTCCATTTGACAAGCTTTAACGTGTCGAATCCTCAATGGTATTGATTCTAGCTTATGTTAAGTTAATTCACATCCTACTCATACCCTTGTAAAATATAACTCTAGAACAATTTCTATGTACTCTTTGAAGGAATGCATTTCCTGTTCTAGTTACTCTATATTCCTTAAATATATATCCAAGAGAATTATCAGGACGCTCTTTTCCAAATATAGTTATCAAATCTGCAAGATTTGGGTATGGTATTTTTACGTTAGTTGATATTCGATATTTTTTACTGATATGGAACAAATGGCTGAATGGATTGAAGAAAAAATTGATCGAAAAGGGGAAAAGGCAATAATGTAAGTGTGGCAATTGAGCTTCGATTTGGGGCATCGTAATACTATTTCGGAAAGATAACGACGAAATGGGTAAAACTCACCACTATGATGTGACATACGATGGATTTAAGCCATCTGAGTTTGTTTAGGACTCGAAAATTGCTTTTAAAGTTTTAGTATTATTTTTGTCATTTAAATTATTTGGAATTCTTTGCAATTTTAGTTTGTTTAAACTGGGTTTTATATAAATCCTTATAAATGAAGTGTTAATTCATCCTTTTTTTATTATCTTTCAATTAATAAAATTCCTTAGTTTATTTTTCATAATTTGGTGGATTCCAAACTTTGTGTTTTTAGAATTTCCGCTTGAATTTCCTTGTTTCACGTTGCGTCATTTACATATATATTGACTATTATCAAAGATGAATTAAGTGGCTCCCTCAATGTTACCATACTTAAAGTAGTGTCTACCGCTGTCATCATTCAATTTTTCCTAGAACCCCAAGAAACTACACTTATATAAGGTAGATTTTCGCCCAACATCTTTGTTGCCACCAAGAACTCCAAGTTGTTACTATGAATCTTGGGAAATAATTGTGAGGATTTCACAAATGTCCTTCCACGGATAACATTATTATAAGCTAGAAAACTAGTGACATCGAGCTATTAACAACATTAGTTCTTCTGTTTCCTTCTCCTTTCATAGTATTAGCCTTATTTAACATTGATCAATCTAAAGATTATTGTTTGAAGGTAGAAAGCTAAAGCTGATTGAATGGTGTGAAAACTAGCGGCTCGATCCAAAGCAAATAAAGAGAGCCAGACAAGTAAATTTCTTTGAGAGAAAATAAAGTCACATTGTGCGTGGGGTGACTTGAGAATTGTATGTTGGAAAGAAGTATGTGAGAATTGAGATACTCCATGTAGGATACATAAGAAATGCTTTCTCAATTCTTATTTTACGAGATGAGATTTCATTTTATTTTTACGTTTTACATTTTCAAGTTTTTGGTTGATTGAATGTTGAATATGGAGTCTATTTTCAACTTTATGTGTGATGCATTAGAAGGTTGTTTCGCTCTCCAATTGAGTCAAGATATGTGCTCATGAATCCAAGAATGCAACACTGTTCGACGCATACTTATTTTCTCTTTTGATTTGATTATTTATTGCTGCAAAGTAATATGAGTTGTTACTCAGTTGTAGTATAATGGTAGCTTGCT